AGGAGGAAGAAGATGGAAGTTCAGAGAAGGAAGAAGTCAATAGGGAAAAATCAGAAGAGGAAGTTCGGTCAAAGGAGGGCACGTGGCTTCAGCAAACACAAGATAGTGGGAGGTTTGAAAGTGATGGGGAACTTTCTTTGAAAAAGAAATCATACACGGAACTCAATACTAATGGGGTGTCTGATAAATTTGAATTTGAAACTAACCCTATAAGGGATTATGCAGGCCTTGGGCTGCGAGGGGAAGTGGATCATATTCTTTCAGCCCAATATGATTCTAATTGGGATTCTTATTCCCCAGTCACTAAATTAATTCCTGCTGGGCGGGCAGTAAATTTCAAGCGGGTGGGCAAGTTAAGTCTGTTAATCTCCCGTCTCCAATGATTCAGGGAGAGGATAGAAGCAAGTTAGTTGAGGAGGAATTGGCGGGAGTCCTTGAAGCTGAAGTTTCTGTTCCGGGTGAGATAGAAGAAGGAAAGGTGCTGCAGGAGGAGAAGTCTGGAATTAATGAGAAGGTTCTAAACGTTGGAAACTGGGATTCCTGTTCCAGTTGGTTTGACAGTTAGATGTGATCATGAAGGAAGAAAGGGTTTTGGCCGCTATGCTAGAGTCTATAGAAGGAAAAGAGTTAGACGAATTAGGTCACGTTCCAGTAAAATGGCTGAGGTCATTAGTTCAGAGGTTATTCCAACTCTAGATCAGAATTTTCAGAAGGCGAAAATTTCCAGCATCTTTCTTCGGATAATAGAGGAAATGGTCAGGAAGAATTTTTCAATGGTTCTGTTGATAATCAGAATACTTTTTTGGCCATTACTGAGGGTCTGGAAGTGGTTCCTTTTTCTGTTTCAGGGAAAGGAAGAAGTAATAGAAGGGAAAGAAGAGTTCTTACCAGGGAAGCTGTAGACTTGGTCAATATTTCCACTGTCTTTTCACCCCAATTCTCAAAGTTGGTGGAGGAAGCAATGGCCACTTGGGAAGTTTGTCAGTTATTAGGTTTTTCTTTCAAGGAGGGGAAGAAGACTTTCATTGATAAAATCTTAAGTCTTCAGAAGGGTGCGGAGGCTGTAAAGGAAGGTTGATATGCAGGTTTGGTGGGTAAGGGTAAGGTGTTTTGGGAGTGTAGTCTTCTCATGAATAAATTAAGTATTTTTTCGTGGAACATTAGAGGGTTAGGTAGGAGGGAAAAGTCAGTAGCAGTAGCAAAACAAGTGAAGAAGTTAAAACCGATTATGATTTTTATTCAAGAATCTAAATTGGAGCAATGTCATGTTTCGATTTTAAGGAGGATAGGAGGTAATTTGTTAAAGGGTGTGTTGGTATCTCCAGCTCAGGGGTCTAAGGGTGGGTTGATTAGCATGTGGAATGAAAATGTGTTCAAGGTCACTGTGCAACATGTTCATAGTAGATTTTTGGCATTAGTGGGGAATTTTTTGAACTGTCAAAAGGAGTTTGTTTTTATTAATGTTTATGGTCCTGCTATTGAGTCTGAAAAGGAGGAATTCTATGGGGAACTGCTGAATTTTGTTGTTTCGTTGAATTTGCCATTGTGTATAGGGGGAGATTTTAATGCGTACTTAGAAACGGATGAAAAACATGGGAGATCACAAAATTGGCATGCAATAAATATTCTTAGATCTTTCGTACAGCAAGCTAATCTTATTGACTTGCCCATGTCAGGAGGATCTTTCACTTGGTGTAGTAATAGAGAATTGGCTACTTGGGTTAGATTAGATCGGTTCCTTATTTGTGGAAGATTTCTTGACAGTTTTCCTCAGATTTCGCAAAGCCTTTTACCGCAATCAATTTCAGATCATCATCCTGTATTGCTGGAAGATTTCTGCCTTAATTGGGGCCCTAAACCTTTTAGGTTATTCAATTATCTTTTAGAGGACCAAGGTTTTGATGAATTGGTTACAGATTTTGTGGCAGTAGAGAAGAAGAAGGTAAATAGTGGTGGTATTTTCAGGTTGTTACAAGCTGCAAAAAAGAAGATAAGAAGATGGTCAGGCAGTAGTCATTTAGGGCTGGCAGAATCTATCTTGTCTCTTGAAATGAAGAATTTTGACATGGATTTAAAGTCGCAAGGAGGTAGGTTGTCTTCGGTGGAGAGGGGTCAGGTGGTTGAATTAAGGAAGGAGTTATGGAGGTTGCTAAGGATAGAGGAGAGTATTTGGTGCCAAAAATCAAGAAATAGATGGCTCAAAGAAGGTGACAAAAACACGAGGTTCTTTCACCTTAGTGCTATGAAACGGAATAGAGTCAATTCTATCCATTCACTGAAAGTAGAAGGGGTATTAGTCTCGGATCCAAGAAAATTAAGAGGCAGTGTGTTTAATTACTTCAAGACTGCTTTTTCTAATATTTCAGCCTTGGAGGTAGAGGGCCTAAATTTTGATTTTCTTAAGTTAACAGCAACCCAATGTGCTTTTTTGGAGGAGGAATTTTCAGAGCAAGAAGTGTGGCATGCAATTTCGTCTTCTGATAGTTCAAAAGCTCCTGGTCCAGATGGTTTTACCTTGGGTTTTACAAGAAATATTGGAAAGATCTCAAGGAGCAGATTATGGAGTTTTTTTCAGATTTCTATTATGGGAAGGATTGGTCTCATGGAGTAAATCATGCCTTTATTACCTTGATCCCTAAGAAATGTAATCCAGAATGTATTGAAGATTATAGACCTATTAGTCTTGTGGGCAGCCTATATAAAATTCTCTCTAAAGTCCTTTCAAAGAGACTGATATCTTGTGTCAAGGATATTATCAGCCCTACACAGTTTGCTTTTATTCCGGTAGGCAATTGATGGACTGTGTTTGTTTAGCTAATGAAGGTATCGATTTCTGGAGGAAACAAGGGCTTCAAGGGGTTGTTTTTAAAGTGGATTTCAGCAGAGCATATGATACATTTGAATGGAAAATTCTTCTAAGGTTAATGAAAGAAATGGCTTTGGTGAGAGGTGGTGCTCTTGGATTAACCAGTGTATTTCGACTGCTTCAATATCGGTTTTAGTGAACGGGTCTCCTAAAGAAGAGTTTCCCATTGCAAAAGGTTTAAGGCAAGGGTGTAGCCTTTCTCCTTTGTTGTTTAATGTGGTTGGGGAACTTCTTCAATTGATGTTGTCTAAAGCAGTGGATTCGGGTCTCTTTCAAGGGTTCTCTTTTGGCAAGAATCATTACTCATTTTCGTTGTCCCATCTTCAGTTTGCAGATGATTTAATTATTTTCTGCCAAGCTTCTATTACCCAGATTAAGAATGTTAGTAGAGTTTTGAGGATTTTTAGCTTGATGTTGGGGCTGCATATTAATTTAGCGAAGAGCAAACTTTTTGGTATTAATGTGGAGAATGATATCCTTGAAGAATGGGCTAGGTCCGTTGGGGGCGTCAAAGAATACAGAGAAGTTGTGGGATCCGGTGATTGACAGCTTTACGAAGAAGTTGGCAGGATGGAAAGCTGCTTCGTTATCTATGGCTGGCCGATTGGTGCTAATCAAGTCTGTTTTATCATCTCTCCCTACTTTTTTCCTATCTATTTTTAAGTTGCCCTCTATTGTCTGTCATCGGTTAAATTCCTTGATGTCGAATTTTTTATGGGGATGAGGGGCCGAAAAGAAGAGAATGCATTGGGTGAGGTGGGATACTATCTGCAGGCCGTTGAGTGGAGGAGGCATGGGTGTTGCTGATTTGAATCTAACAAATCGAGCGCTGCTGGGAAAGTGGGTATGGAAATTTGCTAATGATAAAAATTCGATGTGGAAGAATTTCTTATGTAGCAAACACAATGTGAGTTGTCATTCCATGGATATTTCTAAGGTCCTTTCTCCAAAAGACTCTTGGATATGGAGGGGAATTTTGAATAATTTTATTAAGGAAGATGCTATTGGTGGTTGTCTTCGATCTCATGCTAAGCTTCAAATTGGTAATGGCAAATCAATTTCCTTTTGGAGCGATTCATGGATTGGGGAGTTGCCTTTGAAACTACTTTTCCCTAGGATATTTGCACTTTCTACAAATAAATTGGGTACTGTGGTGGATTTCGGTAGCTTTGATTCGAATGGATGGGGATGGAATATTCAGACTAGAAGGAGTCTTTGTGATTGGGAGATTGAGCAGTTGGCAGAGTTACTGGATAGGCTGAAAAACATTAATCTTTTGGAGCATTTGGAGGATTGTTTGTTGTGGGATAGTTCGGGTGAGGGTCTGTTTTCAGTTAAAGCTTGTAGGAGAGTTCTTTCTCCTTCTCTTGATGATTCTTTTCAATGGAATAAGTGTGTTTGGCAGGGTTTAGTTCCCCCTAGAGTGGAGACTTTCCTCTGGCAATTATCTCACCAAAAAGTAGCAGTGAGAGTGGAACTGTTTTTTTTTATAGAAGATTAGGCCTCATTAAAAACCCCTTTTTCAACCTTCATATTATAAAAGTAACATGAAGGACAAGGAAAGGAGGAAAAGAGTGCCTAGAATTTATTAGATGAAACAAAGTACAACAAAGGCAGACCCTAAACATCTGCAAACACCACCAGAAATTACATAAAACTTAAACACAACAGCTAAACATAGGAAATAAAATTATCTACTCCTCAATACAAGCAGACAGAAACCATTACATCACCCTATCCCATCCTTAGCTAATTTGTCAGCACTTATTTATTTCTTGTCATGTTTCTTGGGATTTGTGGACTAAGCTTTTAGGGTACTAGGGTATTCAGTTAGCTATTCCACAAGACCCTCCAAGTCTGCTCAGTTCGTGGGCTGTTTTGAGGCCTAATTCTGCTATTTGAAAGTTTATTCCAGGGGCTGTTTTTAGGTCAATTTGGAAAATGAGAAATGAGGTAATTTTTGAAGAAGGAAAACTAGACAGAATTTTACTGTTTTTCACTATCCGTTTAAGGTTAGCCAAATGGTTCTGAGTACAATGAATTGATAAGAAGCTTTATAGCATCAAATATGGCAATCAAGCCTGTGAATGCATCTAACTTAAGTTGTAACTAGGATAACAGTCATGCAATGATGCAATTACCACAAAAGGTAAAATTAACAAAGAGGCCTAGTTTGATGTAGTGTTCGTGCATATGTAAAGTGCACCAAAGAAAAAGAATAGTGCAATGCACACAAAATAGCTTTGATATATTGGACAAGAATAGGGAAAGGCGAATGATAAGATCTATAGATCTATACTTTTATTGATGTCACTGAGCAGAGCAGTATGATAATATTCAGAATTAGTTATACTTCAATTACAAAAAGCACAACAAAATAAGAAGATAGTACCATGGAGTAATCAATCCAACAACCCCAATTGGTTCCTTAAGCACATAACTCTTAAATATCTCCATAGGAAGAGAGACGGGAGCCTTTTGCTTTGCATCTAACCCTTCAGCAAGGTCTGCATAGCTCAAAACATCCAGCAACATTCTCCTGAATAAAATGAATAAGCAGGTAAGAAAATACACCAAATACTGAATCATAATCCTTCATCAGTGTGACAAGCATAACATGTCCCAAACTGCTTCATCAAGTGGTTTCCCACAATCCATTGCTTCAAGCTTATCCAACTCAGTTTTTCTTTCTGTTATCTGGACCACTCAAATAAACTCAACACCTTAAAACAATACAGCCAATTTAAAGATAAGCATTAAAAGAATTTAAGAGAGCACCAAGGAATCATTATAAGGCCACCTATGGATTGGAGGAAATAAGACACAAACAAGAGATATCAGATTGGCAGCTTTCGCTTGTTTCATTTTCATATAACCAGACATGCCTCAACGGCATGGATGGCTTTGTTCAACAAGCTACCTAGAAGTAGACTCAGCATATAACACTTGGAATCAGTGAATTATCAATCTATTAGGCAGAGGAAACCAGTTAGCCATATTTGTTTCATGTTTGTATTCTAGGTTACTATGGGAGAAAGTATTGCAAGCGGCTTTTACTATGTAAAATGTTGTTGCAGAGAGTTGCAATGGGCAGTGGGCACAGACAAGACTAGGAGGAAAACTGTCATTTCCGTTATTCTATTTTTAGCATGGATAGCTTACATCTATTACCAAAGGAAGTCTTAGTTATTTTCGGTTCTATTGTATTCACAATCAGATTCTGTTCATAGGTATCAAGATATAGCAGGGAACTATGTTAACAGGGAGTCATTTCATGCTTGGGTCTAAATGATTCAAACTTCATTATAGCTGCTATTTTGCAAGTTAAGCATAACTACAGCGTATTCTCACTTCGCGGGTTCAAAATATGGAATTACTGATAATATTGTACACCTGAGTAGGGTGAGCAAAACTCGACTCGGAAAACCTAATTTTTTGACTCGACTTGACTCAAACAAATTTCAAATAAAGTTTGAATAATAAAATAAGACTCAAATAACTCGAAATTTTTAGTAATTAATAGATTGGTTTTCATGTTCAAGTTAAGTCCCTCAACTATGTATGATATATGTTTATTGCAAATGAAAAAATATGAAGAAATATATACACGTGTAAGGTTATAGAAATCTGTTTAAATTGGAATCAATTAGTAACATAACAATAACATTATAAATATTTACAATTAAATTTAAACAGAAACCCGGACAACTCTGACTCAAAAAATTTCGAATAAAATTTGCCTTATAAAATAGGATTGTTAACTTCACTAGGTCAAATTTTTTTTTTGACTCCATCAAATATTTGCTCACCCCTACACCTGAGCCCTCCATCAAGGGACCATATTCTCAGAAAGTATAAATTGCAAAGTAAAATGATGAAGCCTCAAAAAGAATGAAGATATCCCGGACCATCCTACACAAGTAATTAAGTTAATAGCATGTTTACCTAAGCAGCGATGGCACGTAAATACTCGGCACGAACAGAGCCAGAAGCTGAAGCCCAGTCCTTGCCTTTGTTTCCAGAAAGGGCTCTCCGAGCAATGGCAACCGCAAGGTCCACATCTTCAGATGTAGCTGCCGGAATATCACCTGGAAAAACAAAAGCTCGAAAATTTCAAACATTTTAAAAACCTTTTTCCGCTAAACATCACGAATTTTTAAACCTAAAAGATCGTTCCAACAAACATAAAAACAAATAGAAGATAAAAGAGTTGACCGATGATCTGTTCAGCGGAAGGGTTGATGACTGGGATTCGCTTCTTGAGAACGGACTCTCTCCACTCGCCTCGATGAATAACCGTCGACTCGGGACTTGGACCGCCATATTAACTCAGTTAATTTCCTTGTCTAGTTTCACTCTGGATCTCAAACTTAAAGCAGTGTGGAAGAAGCTTTCTGGTTTATTTTGGAGGTTTAGGCAACTATTATAGAGTATATGCATCTGATCTCAATATCTGATCTTCTATTATTATAATAAATATTTTATATTTCATAGTTTTATACCTCGATTTTATGAGATAACTTAAGATAATGGTACAGGTCTCCAAACTATTAATCTCATTTTTAAATTAACTCTTAAATTTTAGGGTAAATTATACAAATGGTCTCCGACTATATGATATTAATTTATTGAGTTTTTTACTATTAAAAATTACAAAATGATCATCTAAATATAGAGTGATATTTTTGTTGAGTCCCTCAACTATTAAAGTTACAAAATGGTCACCAAACTATTTATTATGTTCCAAACTCATCCTTTTTCATTCAAAAATTGATGGTATTCTGAGTTGAATGTTAATATGTTGAATGTGATATGATAAAATCTGATCCTAGAATCTTAAATGATTATCATATCTCAATCATCATGTTAATTTCCAGCTTAGACAACAACCATTTTTTTAACGAAAAATGATGAGTTTGAAACATAATGAATAATCAGGTGACCATTTTGTAACTTTTAATAGTCGAATGACTTAACAAAACAATATTTTATAATCAAATGATCATTTTGTAACTTTTAATAGTCGAGGGACTTAATAAAACAACATTCTATAGTCGGGAGACCATTAGTGTAATTTACCCTAAATTTTATAGTGATTTTATCAACTCCTAAATGATCATTGTTATTCTATTTTAATCATTTTATTACTAGATCATTAATTTTACTAGTTACAAAATATTTTATTTTTGAATATCATGAATATTGAACATATGAACTTCTAAAATTTTTAAGACCTTTAAAAACAAATTAAGGTTTTAATAGTAGAGTCAATGCTAATTAACATAATCAACAATTAGTTGGTCTAGTGAGATAAGACATTAGATTCATTAAACAAGGTCAAAGGTTCGAATCATGATGTTTGCGAAGGGAGCAAATTGGGTTGGAAGGGTTGTCCTCGCCTTTACAGTATCTAATTGGATTAGTCGACTAATAAACCAGATACTAATGATTATACCCAAAAAATGATAAGTTAATGTAATAATCAAAATAGATTGATATTAATAGCTTGAGGATTAATATATAATATTTTAAAATTTATAAATTAATTTAAAATAAGAGTTGTAGTTTAGAAATGGATATAAAACATTTTAAAGTTATGATCAGTTTAAAATATGAATCATAGTTTGGAGATCTCTTGTATAATTAACTTTGATTCCATCCATGGAGAGTTAAATTTGTATAGTATAGTACATCATAGGTTTCTAAGCTATATTATATTCACTTTAGTTATAAAATAATTATTAAGTTTATCAAATTCTTATTAAATGATTATTATAGTATAATAATAATAAAGTTAGATAAATTTACTAATTATTTTGTAACCGTTTAACAATATTTAATGGTAATTATATAACGTTGTTTTAATAACATTTTAACATTTAGGGTAAAGTATATAAATGGTCCCTTGATTAAAGAATATTACTTTATTAAGTCTTTCAACTATTAAAAGTTACAAAATAGTCCTCTGACTATATGGAGTTATTTTTTGAGTCCCTTGACTATTAAAAGTCACAAAATGGTAACCTGCCAATTCATTATGTTCCTAACTCGTCCTTTTCAGTTAAAAAATTAACGACAGTCTGAGATGTACGATAACTTGTTGACTAAGATGTGATAAAATATGATCTCATAATCTCAAACAACTATCATATCTCGATCAATAGTTAATTTTTTAACGAAAAATGACGAGTTTGGAACATAATGAATAGTCAAGTGACCATTTTGTAACTTTTAATAGTTGAGGAGCTCAATAAAGCAACTCCCTATAATTAAAGGACTATTTTATAACTTTTAGTAGTCAATGAACTTAATAAAGTAGTATTCTATAGTAAAATGACCATTTGTCACAAGCTAGACTAGAGGGAGGGGGCATGACCCCCAAAAATTGAACAATTATAATTTAGACCCTTAAATTTTCAAAAAAAAAAAAAATTGGCCTCCCTAAAACTTTTAGAAATTTAGATTAAATTTAATTTTTTTAATTTTTTTAATTAAATACCTCCCATAATTTTAAAAATTCTCATTAAGCCTCTAAAAAATTCACAAATTTTAATTAGACCCTAATTTTTTTTAGGGGAAATAAACTAAACCTTCAAAAATTTTAAACATCTAATTTTTTTAAAGTTTTGAGTTAACTCTCTCAAAACTCTATCACCAAATTCCGCCACTGACTAAGATAATTATTTAATCATAATTTAAAAAACTCTAATATATTTTGCTTATTCCTTTAATATTTTAAATATCTATTTTATCATTCATATTTAATATTTGTAATAATCTCTTTTAATATATCATTTTCTAAATTCTTACCAAAAAAAGTAATGTATGTGACTAAATATATATAATATATACTAAGTCGCACCTAATCTAACCACGATTAATTTTTTTATACAATGCGTCAGTCTTTTTTGCTTTGGAATTATATGCCTAACACGAAAGAATGTCTACATATGATGATTTTGTGAATATTTAAACATTATGGATTTAAATAATATTTACAATAAAGTTAGAATTGATATAAATATTAATATCCATATCTTAATTTATTTTATTTTGTTTAAAAATTATTATTAGTTAGAAGAGTACCAATTTCGAATCTTGAATAAGATATCAGTTTCAATTAACTATTAAGATAATAGATATATAAACAATTTTAAAATAATATTAATCATTATACTGAAAATGTTGTCTAAATATTTAACTAAGTATTGACAAAAAAGTTTCATAAATTACTTTTTCAATGGTTTTAATTTCAATACTTTTATAATTTCTTTATTTTATAGTTACTATATATTTCTATAATTTTCTTAATTAAGTATTTTAATTTTTTTTCTTTTTGATAAACTTATATTTGTTTTGATTGACTCTAGTTCTGTGCATTCACATATAAGTACTAAGTAATGAAAGAAAGAATTATTCTATTGGAGATGATTTCTACTGATGTAGTGATGATTAATCCTCTAGAACAGAGTATGACGGTTAGTTAAGAGTATCGAAATTGCCTGTTGAAGATACAAGAAATTGAGTTTTGGTCAACTTGATAGAGTTTTTTTGTGTGTGAAGAATTTGAGATGATAGTAGTTGTTATAAAGGTAAATCCCTTATCCAAGATCATTTTTGTTGTTTTGGCTAAAAAATTATTGCTATAAGATTTGGCAAATTTTCTTAGCGAAGTTGGTGGATACTTGATTATTCTTTAATTGAGTGAGAAAATATTACGAATGTCAGAGAGTATCTGTATTCGGATGTTTTTTCAGTTAATAATAATATAACATAATCAAATAGTATCACACCATTTTATTCTAGCATTATTACATAAAATATCACAATTCAAGAGTCATTTTCAACAAAACAGAAGTAGTAAGCCACTTTTTTCTCAATAAACCATAAATCATAACCATTAATTCAACATAGTTATTTACAACAAAACAGAAGGAATAAGCTATAAATACAATAAACCATAAGTCCTTCAATATTAAAATGCCTATAATCTTAACCCATAAACACCAAAAAGAGTACTACACAAATCATCCAAGAAATTAACATCTCACTAAGGCACAAAATTTTTATTTTCTTAAGTTTATGAGCATGTTCAACAGTTGAAATTAAGTCTTTCTGGATCGAATTTAACTCAAACTTTAGTTCTTCAACTTGAAAACAGTCATCACATCGATTCACTTTCTTTTACTCTTCATTTGATTTTCGAAGATCGAAAATTAGGAATTTTACTCTTTCAGACATATCTTCATCATACCAATTTAAAAACTTACAATATGAATTCTTGAAATTAGGACAACTAAAGAACCTTCTCCATGCATTTTTTTCTTTTTCAAATTGTCTACATAGGACATTTCAAACCATATCTACAATACACAATATTACCATCATACTCCCAAGAAAATGAAGAATGGACATTGCTCCGACTGGTTTCAATAGAGGATCTCACCGAATTTGTCATACTAATGAGAAATTTATGGAAAAAAAAATTTAAGGAGATAAAAGACCCACAAAAACTAATGAGATGTTATTTCTCAAACAAACTTACATGAATCTTATGATGCCCAGCAACGATGCAAGACCAAAGGTTTGATTTGTCTTCAAAAATCATTGAATAAAGAAAAAGAATTTGTTCTTCAAAAGCGCGATACCATCGTGAAATGTTTAATTTGTTTGGAAAAGTGAAAGATTTAGGTTTTAAATAAGGGTTTTAGCTACCATGTAAAAAGTAATTTAGTTTTTATCAATCATTTATTTTCTAGTCAGCATTTTAATTCTAGTCATAGCCTAATCATCACTAAAAGGATGGGGGATGGAGGGCTTCACGTTCCATGTCGTCAAAAACTAATGGTTCCGTCAGTAAAAGACAGAAAATGTTGGTCAAATGACCATATTGAGCATTTTTCCTGACTTAGAGGGCTATATTATCTTTTTTTTTAAAAGATCTAGGGCCTCAGGTACCCTTTTGTCTAAAATAAATAAATTCATATACTAACATGGAAAAAAAATAAATATCAATATAAAAAGAGAGTAAATTCATGAAATAACATTAAGGGTGTTCAAATGATTACACTAAAGCAAAACAAGTTTTTAGCGACGTTTTTCAGTCATATAGCAGCGTTTTTAAGCGTCGCTAAAAACCTTTGTGGCGCAAAAACAAACGCCGCAAAAAGTGCCACTAAAACAAATATCGCAAAAGGTAGTGACGTTTTTCGTTCACAAATGCCGCTAAAGGTTATGATATTTAGCGGCATTTTTTCCAAACGCCACTATTTATCTTTTCTTTTGTGGCGTTTTGTCCCAAAAATGCCGCTATTTTTTATGACATATAGTGGCATTTGTTCCAAAAAATGCTGCTAAATGTTAAGCCATATAGTGGTGTTTGTGAATGTAAAACGCCGCTATTGACTATGTATGTAGTGGCATTTTCTGTATAAACATTGCAAAAGATCTAGAACTTTAGTAGCGTTTTTCAAAAACCCCGGTATTGACTATGTATTCAGTGGCGTTTTTTATACAAACGGCACGAGTTAAAACTATTTTTTCAAATATTGTTTTCTACTCTTTTGTTACCCAAATTTAAAATTTTAACATATAACATTATCTAATAAACTTGACATCCATAACAAGAAACTTGAAATCCATAATAATAAATCAAAGTTACATTAACATAAAATATAATGTAGTTCAACAATGTTAACTAGAATAAACAATAATAACACCTAAGATGGTGGACTCTGGGTTGATTTTGTCGTATCATCTGCATCATAGCTTGAAGTTGATTTTGAAAGTCATCACATTTTGAAGTACAATCAGAACATAAAAATTGATCCAATCTTTTTGCTTTTTCAATGATCATATCCATGCATGAAGGATGAAACCTACAAACATAATTATGTTTGGTCAGGAATATATGATAATCCAATTTCATGTACAATCGGGAATATATATACACACACAGTACAATGGAATCAGTGGCAAAGAACTGAGAAAATTTTAAACATTCTAACATAACTTGAAAACATGTCTCTTCAGATCAAATATGTTTTAATTTCTAGCGAAAAATAATCGGCAAATACCTCATGCAAAGTCCCTTGAAGTCAACATTGAATCATTGATAATCAGACTGATTAAACCAAAATCTACTTATCAAACAGCCAATAGTAGTTCCAACCCATATATGCCTAAAAGTAACTAGAAGTACAACTCGATGTTGAGTTATACTGGTCAAAACTAATTTAAAATTAAAGTTGAGCAATATAAGTTTCAAGAGTTGAATAGATAACACCCCTAAAGGCACACCAAACTGCAGTGATTTACGTTAAATTCTCTACACTCCACTACTGGCTGACATTACCAGAAGCTAAATCCTCAATTGCAACCACTATTTTTCCACAAAATGTCAAATCAACTAAAACCTTATTTGATTCATTAGATATGAACTTTCATCAAATTGTAAATCATAAAATCGTTACCATTTCCATGGTGAATTAGGTGATATGAAGACCAAAGGAAGATATTACACATTAATAGTAGAATGTTAATATGGAAATGAACCATGTCCGAATAAGACAGAGCAGTTAAAGTAATATCAGGCGGCATTATTAAGTAACTTCAGAATGCTAAGATATTATTTTGACAAGCATTATTAAGTAAATGAGTAGTGACTTTACCAGTCCTTGCATCCCTCGTTTTGCATACAAGACCACTACATTCATTATATGTTAGTGACACAATCAGAAAAGTGAATATTGATAAGTCTATTTGTTTCAGTAAAAGTGTTAAAAGATTCCAACCAGTAAATTGATAATCCTGACGGAACAGAAAACAAAAAGTAACCAATCATAAGCGGAAGAAACTTGAGAACAAGAAGTGTGTTCTTTTAGGTTAGATTCGTCTGTCCAAAAAAACTGAGAGGTTTAAACTTCTAACCAAATTAATATGTCAAATAGGAAAGAAATGGAAGTAATGAAGCCAGTTCTTCTTACCTGGGGAGGCTTTATCAGCTCCATTGAAACATATTGACTGACAACAAGAAGTACGAGTAAAACAAGGTATGCAGCAGTGTCATGCAACCCAATCGTGGATGGCTATCCTACATGATCATTGCTCCTCATATGTTAGAGAACAAAATTAGATGTATGAACCAAAGGAAGAACGTGGTTTCTACGCCTGGTCACAAAAGTTACATCTTAAAACTTTAATTTTCTACTCTTAATCTAATCTCAGCTGTAAAATGTGGTTAAGCCTAGCTTCACACAAATTTAGTAGCTATTATAAATTTATAGTCACATTTTTTTTGGCAAAATTACCAAAATAATCCATTTGGGATTATTTAATTCCCAAAATAATGTTCTTCCCAGATTATTTCCCCATCTAGGGTGAAATCTACAATACCTAGCCAAAGACTTCAAGCTTATATGGTGTATTCAGGCCAACCAGGAAGACTCCAGAAGTGCACAACATCTTCAGACAGGGGACAGACGCGTGGATTGCACAAAGTCTTCAAGCCATGCAGAAGGCCCCGGGACTACGCGACTTCTTCAGGTTAACGGTTCAGCATGTAGAAGGTCCCGAGACAACGCAACGTCTTCAGGCCTGCAACATGGGGAAGTGGGAAGGCTGACTGCTGTTGCGGCTGCTGCACCCGAATCATGTTGCCATTATTGGGCACTAATAATGGTGTCATTATTGTGCACCAATAATGCGTGTAAGGGCGACAATTTTTTATAAATAGGGGGAGTTGGGTATTGAGGGAGTAGGGGTGAGCTGAGAAAAGAAGAGAAGAAAGTTTCTATTGCCGAGAAAGATTAGGAAAAATAAAAAGGAGAGAAGAAAGTTCGAACAAAAGAAGAAAAAAATCGAATTTTCTGGTAAGTTTAATGTACATTTTATTTTTTTTATTTTAAATATAAATTAATTAGATTATTTAGTTTGATTTTACATATTAAATTGTATTTGTGTGGTTTGGTAAGTTTAATTTAAATTTTCGTGTAATATTTTGGGTAATTTTTATGTTTATTTTAAATAATAATTATTAGACTATTTATTTTGATTTTAGATATTAAGTTGTATTTGAGTAGTTTGGTAAGTTTAGTTTAATTTTTTTTATTGAGTAATATAAATTATTAGACTAATTATTTTTATTTTACAGATTAAATCGTATTTGATTGGTTTGGTAAGTTTAGTTTAAAATTTATTGTTTAGGGTTTAGGGTTTTTATTGTAAATATAAATTAATTAGACTATTTATTTTGATTTTACAGATTAAACTGTATTCGAGTGGTTTGGTAAGTTTAATTTAAATTTTCTTGTATTTGAATAGTTTCGTAAGTTTAGTTTAAATTATATTTTTAATATAAATTAATTAGACTATTTATTTTGATTTAACATATTTTTTTAAATTTTCTTTAATTATGATTAATATTATAAATTGAAATATTTAATTTTTTTATAGATTTGTTGAAGCATGGTAGAACAAAATGTTCTTTTGAGACTAGATGATCAACACATTTCTAATCATTTGGGAGCACTGGTATTATGATATAATAATATATTTTATTTGAGAACGATAAATTAATTCTAATTACATTGATTAATAAATTACAGGATGATGAACAACGAATCCTTCATAGTCGATTGAACATTTGTGATAAGTCAGATGGACTTATTGTTCAAAATTTGCAAATGGCGGCCTTTTATGAAGTAACATTTGTAAGAGAATTTAAGTTGGTCCCCGATTTGATCAGTGCATTAATTAAATGGTAGATACAAAAAACTCATACATTTCATCTTCCATGTGGTGAATTTACGATCACTTTGGAGGATGTGGCTTTACAACTCGGGGTCCCTACAAATGGAATGGCAGTGGTGGGAAAAAATGACCAGGACTTGTTTGAAATATGTGGGGCTTACCTTGGGAAGGTGCCAGAAAAAACATTTATAAAAGGGTCACGTTTGAGGTTATCATGGTTGGTGAATGAGTTTAAGCCCAGACGTTATAGTATCGAGCTAGACATTACATATGCAACTTGAGCATATATATTACGATTGATCGGGGGAGTCTTGATGCCAGATAAATCCGACAATCTTGTTCATATACAATATCTTCCGTTTTTGGCTAACTTTTTGAATACCTGTCAGTATAGTTGGGGATCGACAATATTGGCATTCTTGTATCGCGAGATGTGCAAGGCGTCATTACTTGTAAATAATATGTGAACAATGAAAATCGGTGGATGTTTGATGTTATTACAATCGTGAGCCTGACACAAACTTTCATGGTTAACACCGATTAGCCGAACTGTAGTTGAATTTCCTCTTGTCGGAAGGTAATATTTTGAGTTAAAATATTTGATCTTAAATTAATTAACGATTTTTATAGGAAAAATAATTAGCAAATTTTATTTTGATTGATATACAGATGAAGGCATAAAATAGAAGGAACGGGGTTGGTGCACAATAATGTGAAATAGTTTAGATTTAAGATGGATATTAAATGCAAAGAGTTTCTTATATTGTTTATTTGTTTAGTTTAATTATAGTATTATTTAATTAATTAATAATTACATAATTTTCTTTTATAGTTTATATGGAGAACGTGCAATGGTGGAGAAATTATAATGTATGTACTGCAACATGTCTGAGAGGATTGTGTGTGTTGTTACACCATTGATCTATTTCGCTTTTGTTGAGTTCCAATTTTCCAATAGAGTGTTGAGGCAGTTCGGCTTCCAATAGAGTGTTGATGGGTGGGGTAGGCACTGTGAGGATTGGGCTATGAGATTTGCCAACTATATCAATCTTTGGAACAACATGGATTCATACTTGGAAATTTTCAGTCCCATTTAAGCGGATGACTTTGACTTCCAGAATTTCGATTACCTGAATTATTATTGGGAACATGGAAAAGACAACGAACATAGAAATGAGACAATTTATATAGTATAAGAAAAAATTTGGTAAAGCCGAGAAACCAAGAAGGAGTGGGAGTTCATCTCACCATGGAGCAGAACAAATGGAAATGAATAATATCCCATCAGAATCTTTTGGCGGTACATGATCATTTCATCAAGTGTTTGGTGATTTTGGTGTTACGGCCTACACTCCTCAGCTTATTCCTCATCAATCACCCATGTTCTCTCCCATGTTTGGAGAACATATGAATTTTATTAAATGTCATCTATGATGTCAAATATGAGTATTTTTCCTCAGGTGGAAGAGCAGAGTGGTGGTGGGCATGTATTTACAACACCGGATGATATGCCTTCAGTGAATGAGCAGGTTGATTATGATTAACAAACTCCTGAACAACTGCAACGACCACAACGAAATCGACGTGCGCCTCAGCATTATTATTCAACAATACCCTAACACCAACATGAGTTGTAAACGCTTTATATGTTTGAATTAATAAATTTTAAGTTGAAACTAAGATTAATATCCATCACATTCATTCAAATATTGATATTAATCACATTAATTCAACTATTGATATTAATCACATTCATTAAAATATAGCGTCAACAAATATTCATCATATTAATTTAAAACAATAGATAAAACAAAACATTCATTGAAATACAAATAGATAAGAAAATCAGTTATTCGTTCAAATAGAAATAAGATTACTAGTGAGGCATGTACCGTGGAAGGTTTGGACAATTTATTTTTGAGTGACTTTCACCTCTAGATAATCCACATCTCTTCGGTTGACATTTCTCTCTAATATGGATATCCATACTGGTATGAATACGAGTAGAATCAGGTCGACCAGTTAGACTTCTATGAAGCAGTGGATTTGGCAACCAATCATCATGATGTTCTTTTAACCAATATGATTCATTTGGGATTGGTCTGAACTCATGGTTGTATATATATTTAATATCCTCTGTAGATGAAAGAACTAATCAATATAAGTGTATGAATTTTATTCCAGTATGCATACATGCAGCGACTTCATGAGCACAGAGATATCTCCACGCTTGAAAGCGACCATAATCACACCATCTTTGTCATAAATTAACTGTAAATGTTTCTCGCTCTGCTTCTTTGTTGTGACATATTCATGCGATGACAATAAAAGTATGTCCAATTCATCGATGTCATGGAAAAACATTGAGGTTGTCAATCATTTTTTTGCTTCCATTGCTTCCACTACTGTCAGAGCTCAGATTTTACCTCTATTTATCAGACACTCAATCTTTTTCCCTTTATTAGACCAAACTTTAGCCAACTTAAAGTATGTCTTTCACCACACTCGCTATTAGGAGATGATGTGTACCTTTTAGTACTAAATTAATAGTCTCAGCAAGGTTTGTTTTCATGTGTCCGTATCGCTGACCACCATCATCTACGTACGACCACTTTTCCCGCTCAATTTTCAACGCCCACTTCCAAACACGCTCATCTTTAACCTTCAAATCCTCCAATCTCTTATCAAAATTTGGTTGACATAATTTATATCCTGTTTCATAATATATATTGTGTTAACGTCAATTTATAAACAAACACATAAATGGGTACACGTGTTGAAAATAAAACTAACTCATGTTGACTATCTCCCTACGAATGCGACTGTTATGAAACTTCTCAATACAATTCTAACCAATATGGCAGATACAATATACGAGATATGTGTACGGAGGTGTCCAACGACTTCTTGGTCGTTCAATTGCTGCCAAAAGGCATGTTCCTTGATAGAAATATCAAGGAAACTCCATCTTCTCGAACGACATACTTATGTAGATTAGTCAGAAAGAAATCCCAAGCCTCTTCGTCTCTCCTTCAACAATAGCGAATGCAGTCGTGAAGATATTTCGTTGACCATTCGCAACTGCTATCAATAGTATATGTTTATATTGACCTTATAACCACATACCATCTACTTGGACCATACATTTGCAAAATGGAAAACCTTATATGCATGACTTGAATGCCCAAAAGTGTCTATGGAATATTCTCTTCCCTTGAACAAGTTGACCTTTTGGGTTGTATGAAGGCATGGTCTGAGACTTCACGATGGTTCCAGGTATGAATTGTTTCAAAGCTTGTAACAAATTAGGTAGCTCATTGTATGATGTATCCCAATCGCCATATATCAACCTCTTTGCCTTCTCCTTCGCAAGCCAAATGGGTTTGTATTTTACATTGTATCTGAACTGGTCTCGAATAGATGCAACTAACACTGAGCAAGGGATTCTTGGATTTTGTTCAACAAACACCTTCACATATTGACATATTACATCAGAGTCCAACAGTTGGTGATCTTGTTTGATAGAGTTTTGCAAACATTTGTTCAACTAACACTAGAGTATTGTACCTTGTGATGACCCAAGCATCTTGTCTCAGTATTTTGGACAATCTAATTAGCCACCTACACTTGGGCACATATTTAACACACTTCACGTACAAAGTTTTCTAGTTGGACTCTACAACCTTGCAATCTATATGGCCTTTTATACAATACTCTTTAATCGCCAGTGTAGCTTATTTTTTTCCTCTGTATTGGTTCCCAACTGATAATTCACCAGAGTTTTCGGATGATTCAGTCATGTAGCTTAAAGTTAAATATGACATCTCTGGAAAATCAGGTGCCCTCATTGCATCATAATCTATCTCGTGTATGTGAGAGGTAAGTTGATACGATGTCAGATATTCATCAATATTGATATCAAATTCATCACCATCGAAAATATCGTCATCCTTAGCCAAAACGGGTTCCTCTGTTTCTTCATCTTCATTGGAATCATCAAGTATTTCTCCCCAACGGTTTTCAGCGTCAACATCAATGTTGAATGCAGATGATGTATTCTTCTTGCCCCATAATCTGCAGCTCCAAATGTTCCACCGACTTCATTTTCACTTTCCAACAAAACCACGAAGTTGTTTATAGACCTATATGTCGAGTTATCAAATTGACTTTCGAAAACCATATGAGATGAAGTTCCAACCATACTTCTTGATGACCCAGGCACATCAGATATATTACACACCTCAACAAATAACTCAATAATTGAAATATTTGTTGAGTCATGTAATTCAATCATAGTAGTAATATCATCATCTTATTCAAGTGGTATTGCAGCATACCTGATTGGATTGAGACATACCATAAACATGTACCTCAAACCATTAATTGTAACTCGGATTTTCCTTTCTATCCTCTCCTTCATTTCTACAAAAGTGATGTCTCTTTTAAACATCATATTTATAGGTCATTCTAACTGAAAAATAATTCCAAATTCATTTTACATAATTTATCCATTGTAATGGACAATCATGAAAAATTTGTTGCTCATTTTCTCTACATATAAAAATATTGATATTCAGAATAAATTAAAATAAATTATAGTAATGACAATAAATTACATTTATGATTAAAATGAAAATAAATTAATTACTAAAATATTATTAATTTAATTATAATAAATATTATTAAAGTTTCAAAAAATGTAAATATATTAACAATATTTTTTTATAAAAATGTAAATATATTAACAATATTTTTTAACATTTTTACTAGAAATACTAAATCAAATGTTGATCTAATTATTTTAACATTTTTACTACAAATACTAAATCAATCTTATTCAAATTATACTAATGATTAGTAAGGTAAAAATGTACAATCATACCAATGATGAAAAATTATATTTATGATTAAAATTAAATTAAATTAATTACTACACTATTATTTAACCTTGCAAAAAATGTAAATATATTAACAATATTTTTTTTATAAAAATAATGATTAAATATTATGATTACATTATAATAATGATTAAATTTATTACTTCGAATTTTTTTATAACTACTTATGATTACTTTGAATTTATTACTCCCTAATTCTCAACCAAAATACCCCATTTTATAACATCCCGGAATATTCATTATACTTTCCCGTTCAACCACCAACCACCAACCTACCCGAATTATTAATGGATAATTAATGGTGCCATTATTTTTTGTCATTATAATAAATATTATTTTTCGTCATTATAATTATATTTTTTTAACATTTCTACTACAAATACTAAATCAAATATATTAATCTAATTATCTTAACATTTCTACTACATATACTAAATCAATAATGTTAAAATTATATAATGATATTTACATAACAATAAATTGTAAATTGATATTTACTAAGTTAATATGTAACTAACAGTAAATCGTAAAACACTTTAAATAAAATATTTTTGCACTTACTTGAGAGTTTCTTCCGACAAGTTGATGTTATAAAAAAACCTTTTCGAATTTCTTACTTACTTGTTTTTTTACCTGCAACAACATATTAAAATTAATATTTTAATATTAAACAATACGAGACAAAATAGAGATATTTTATTTGAATACGAATAAAATTTTATTCGAATAATACTTACAGATTAAAGATTGGAAGAAAATTTCACTCAAAATTTTCTCTAATATTCTTCTCAGATGCTCACTCTTTCATTTCTTCTCTAGATTTTGCCTCTTCTCCCATTTCCTCACCACTACTTTACTCCCCAATACTCAACCAAAACACCCAATTTTATAACATCCTGGGATATTTATTATAATTTCCCGTTCAACCACCAACATACTCGGGTTATTAATGAATAATTAATAGTGTCATTATTACTTACCGATTTCCCGGTCGGAGGCAACCTACCACCCTAGACTGAAGATGCCAGGTAAGCTTGGAGTCTTCTTATTTTGCCTGAAGACGTCGTGCACTCCTGGTGTCTTCCTGGTTGACTTGAAGACGCCAGGTAAGCTTGGAGTCTTTGGCTCGGTACTGTAAATTTCACCCTAAATGGGGAAATAATAGGGGAAGAACATTATTTTGGGAATTAAATAATCCCAAATGGATTATTTCGGTAATTTTGCCCACTTTTTTTTCATTCATGGAAACCCAAGGTAAATATGCTACAAATTCTTAGGGTAATTATAAAGGCAAAATCAAGGGATTCCAAAAAGATTAAAATAATTAAATAAATAACAACAATCAGTCTCTCTAACACAACTGCAACATTAAAAAAAGATAAAAATAAAATAAAGTTATCACATACAAGTATAAGATACAAACAAATAAGCAAAGAATTCCAAAACGTTGAAAATAACAAAGAGAATTGTTAACCTTATAAGTTTGGGAGTAAGTTTATTACCACAAATGGAATAAGCCAAGAAATTCCAGATCCACTTTGTCGAGCAGCAATTGTAGTTGTCCCACCCAAAGAAGGGATCCAAAAGAAACCTTCTTTCAACAATCCCTTTGAGTAAAAATTTTCAGCAATCAGTAATGAAAGTTATTCAACATGTGAAAGAGATCTCCAACATCACTAAGAAATCGGAATGTTACGTCAACATTTGAAAGAGCTTGATACAGGCCTATTCAGACTGGAATAGTGGCTAAAGTAGGGAAGCAACCTGCAAAGACAGTTTTTAGATACTGATGAGCATTTTCCTATGAACCATTGCATCGTAAATTCATTATTCACTCTTTTTTATAAAATAATTAACAATGTTAACATTTAAGTTAAAGTCAATTGCCATACAACCATCTCTATCACCAGTTTTTATTAGCTACGATACCAACAAAGGGAAAAAAATAAAGCTTTCAAAAGAAACTAAATTTAATTAAATATGAAAAAAAAAAGAATTTCAAGTGATTAATCAAAAGGATACCTGCCAAAGGATTAACGCCAGCCTGCCTATACAAGCGAGAAGTTTCGAGTGGTATTCTCTCCTAAATAGAACCAAATGAGGGGGGAAATGAACCTTTCCAATCAATCAAAAAGGAAGTAATACCTGATTTCAATAGTGATTAATCTAAAGATTCCCTTCTTTAGACTCGAAGCTGGCATCATCAGAATTTACGGTGGATTCAATAGTGTAGAACGACTGCATATACCAGAAGACAGGAGAAGAGAGCCACCAAAAGGAGGGCGAGAGAGGCAAAATGGGAATGTTCCGAGTCGTTAGGCGAAATGAGAGGAGGAAGAGAGAGGTGAAGAGAAAGTTAGATCGGTGAAGAAACAACAGATGGGTTTGGGTAAACGGCGGGAATGATAAAATAGGTGAAGGGGAAAAATGAAAAAGGGTTAAAGGAGCGGGACTTAGAAACTATAAACTTGCGACATTTGTAAATACAAACGCCACTAATGTACTGATAAATTGTGGTGTTTATTCAAATAACGCCGCTAAAGATTCTTTAGCGGCGTTTGTCTAAAAACGCTACTAAAATACGAGTCTATACTGATGTTTGTATACAAATGCCACTAAAGTATAGTATTTAGCGGTGTTTATATAAAAACGTCACTAAAGTACAAGTATTTAGCGGCGTTTCTGCTTAAAACACCACTAAAGTACTAGGCTTTAGCGGTGTTTGTCAAAAAAACCACTGAAGTGCTAGGTTTTACCGACATTTGTTTAAAAACACCACTAAAGAACGATTCTATGATTGTGTTTGTTTACAAACGCCACTAAAGTACTTATTTTTAGCAGCATTTGTCAAATAAACACCGCTAAAGTACGAGTTTTAGCGGCGTTTTTTTGAAAAACGCTTTTAATGTTACCATTTAGTGGTGTTTGCTTTGAAAACGCCGTCACAAACGTCTCTATATACCTGTTTTACTATATTGTTAATTCGACCAATGATCGAATCAAATTTCTATTAACCATGTAATACCCCAAATTTTGGTTAGTGACCAAAATTTTTAAAGTTTGGTGACCAAAGTATAAAGTTAGAAAAGTTTAAGGACCAAAAAGGTAATTTTCAAAAAGTTAGGTAATCTGATCCCGTAAATAAATAGTTCACCCTTAAATATGGGGTTTTGTGGGAAATAGATTTTGGATCCATAATTTATGTTAAAAGCTATAAAGTGTTAAAGTCTGGTAAAAATTCGATAAATCGGATCGAATAAAATTTTTTGGGAAAAATGAAAGTTATTAAATCAAGCTTAAAAATGTTATTTCCACATGTTAAAAATGATGAAAAATAATATGGATCATTGGATTTGAGAAATTATTGTCATGTTTATTTTGGACCGTTGGATGAAAATGGTAAGATTGAAATTTTGGAAAGATTGCATGGGTAAAGTTGGAAAGGGTGAATTAATTGGTTCATATTTGAATTTATAAAGATGATAAGGGTTATGCGGCTTGATATTAAGGTAAATATTAAGTTTCATTAAGGGCAAATTGGACATTTCTCATTAAATGAATATTATATTCATTTAAGCTTAAATATAAGGTAAATTAACATGAAATTAAAGAGAAATTTCATGAAACCAAGATATTTTCAGCTCCATTTTGTGCTACCCCATACCTAGGTAAGAAAAATTTTATTTTTCGATTTTGAGCAATTTCCTTTAGATTTTGGATCGAGTTATGTACTAAAAAATTATTCTATTAAAAAACGCTATCATTTGGTACCATTATTGCGTGCTAATTTTGTTTGTGTTCAAAGATCTCAAACTCTAGGGTTTATGTTCATATTAGGGTTTCATGATTTGATGAAAGATTTAGATGTTATTGAGGTTGTAGAATCATTTACAAGCTTGATTGTCCATTAAAATCACCTATACATGTCTATACATGCTTATATTGATTTCGGCCAAACCCTATATTTGGAGAAAGATTGTGATTTTATGAAATTAAGTTAGAGGTTTGATTGTAAATATTTTATAATGTTGAATAGATGTTGGTTTCATGCTTGAATCAAGTGGAAGAATTGAATCCCTAACACATATATGGTTCGACCTTGAGGAAATAAGTTGGGGAAAATTGTAGAAAATTCACATGATATTTGGAAGGTTCTACAAGCCTTATAATTTTTTTGTCATTTTGTAATTTTTCAAAAGTTGAGGGACCTATTTGTAATTTTAAAAAGTTATGGTATGAATGTGTAATTACTTAATAATTGATTTACATTGCTGGAAATTACTGTTTGAGGACTAAAATTCAAGTTAGAATGTGAAAGTTAGCCATTTTGAAAATTTGGCAAAGTTTAAGTACTAAATGGTAAATATTGAGAAAGTTAGTGGCTTAATTGGTAATTATGGTATTATTGAGATATTGGGCTGGAAATTTAATGCTATAAATTTATTGGGCTTAGTTGGGCCTTGAATTAAAGAAAATAATGGCAAGGGCCCATTTTGAGTAAAAAGGAAAATTTAAGATGAATAAATACCATTAAAAACATAATGCAAAAATGGTATCGATATCGTAATAGAGTATCGGTACCATAGTATAGTAGTATTGATATCATGGTAGGGGTATCGATACTAAGGAGTCAGAAATTGTAAGATAGGTTGATATTGTTATAGAAAAGTTAATAATAGGTACTCTTGAGTAATGTTTAAGTATAATTGTTAGGAAATATACTAACAATTGATATCGTACATGTATTTAATGGATATTGAATAGATCGAAATCAAGCTCCCGAGTCAAGCAAAGCAAAAGGCAAAGGCCAAGTTTTGGAGTAATCAGCTTTGTGGTTTGGATACCAAAGCAAGGCAAGCCAGTTGAGTGCATTTAATATGTATTTATGTGTACGATAGTCATAAATGTATAATTGATTGATATATGTATGGTTAATTTCCGTATGGGTACTATGTGTGCAAAATTAAGAAATTCATACTAAGTGTATGAATTTTCATATGGGCGCTATGTGTGCAAAATTAAGAAATTCATACTAAGTGTATGAATTTTCGTATGGGCACTATGTGTGTAAAATTAAGAAATTCATACTAAGTGTATGAATTTTCGTATGGGAACTATATGTGCAAACATAAGAAATTCATAATAAGGAAGTGAATTTTTGTATTGCTAATGGGTATGCAATCCACATAAATTATAGTAATGGTTGAGAAATGACGGTATTAGCACTATCGATGTAAACTATAGAGTGTTTAATGAATTGAAAGAATCACTGGAAATTAGAATTGTGATGATATAAATTGTGTTTAGAATTTTTCTTATGATTACTTATGTCTCACTAAGAAATTTCTTAGTGTGTGTTAATTTCATGCGTAGGTTTTACTACAAGTGAAGTAAGGAGATTATCAGACATCAAAGCAATGGTCTCCTCTTCAGAAACAATATGACATACATGTCTACTTTTTGATGTATTTAGTTGGCATGTGATATATTTAGTAAAAACGCTCTGAAAAACATTTGAACGATACTTTTTGTTATGTAATTAAATTTAATGCATCTTTTATATTAGTTTTAATTAAAATATTTTATAAAAAGAAACAAAATTTTATGGGTTTTCAAAGGAGGAACTGTTTTAAAATTGATGTGACATATATTCTTGTGTACGGAAAGGTATACGAGAGATGCGTATTACATTTATTGGTATCAGAGCTATAGGTTTAGCAGATTCTCGGCCGAATAAAGTACAATTTTAATGTAAAAATGGTTTATATGCCACTAAGATGTCAAGGTTACTGATAGAGTATAGAAAGAATATGACAGATGTCTCTTCTTACTAACTTAAGTATTATCTTTATGTATGGTATACTAGATGTTGGATTCTATGAATTCGAGAAGAGCGGCTAAACAAGAGAATAGAGATAGATCGAGTAGTGAAAGTTATGAGGAGAATAGCGAACATCTGATTCCGTCTGAGAACGCAAGCGCACCGACACATCAGGGTATGTAATGCCAGAGTTTGGAGCTTTCATGCAAGCTCTTGATGCTATTTTGACAAGGTTTCAACCTCCTCCGCCTCCCCCTGCTCCTCCAGCAGCTCGAATGGTAATTCCTAAGGAGTTAAGGAGTTTGGGAGCTCCTGAGTTCCAAGGAGGAGAAAGTGAAGGTCTGATGGACGTGAATTTATGGTTGAATGATGTTAAGGCGATGTTGGAAAGATTGCAGTGCTCTGATCATGAAATATTAGGCGGAGCATTATCATTACTCCGAGGATCAGCTCGGGTGTGATAGATGAATACAACGATGTATGCGTCGCCTGAACAAGTGAGCTGGCAATTTTTCAAAGATGAGTTCAAGAACAAGTATATCGGGGATCAGTTTATGAGATCCATGCTATTAAAATTTCTTAACTTGAAGCAAGCCGATCGAGCAGTGCACGAGTATGAGGCTGAATACAATAAACTTAGTTGTTATGCTACGTAGGTAGATCCTAATGAAAAAGCTCGTCGGGATTGGTTTATTGAGGGTTTGAGGCCTAAGTTGAAAGAGATGATGTTGGCCTTAAACTTGCCTAGCCTACAAGAAGTTATAAACAAAGCTAAGGCTATTGAATGAGCTCAAGAGGAGACTCTAGCAGTGGAGCAGAGTATGCAGACTATAAAAAGAACTGAGATGTCTTCATCTACACATTATGCTAAGAGAGGCAAGGGCTCAGATTCCCGATACACTGACAGAGCTGATTTTGCTGCAGCGTCACAGAAAACTAAGCAATCCCATTCTTTTACTGCTAGCTCGGGTAGAGCTGTTGGAGAAAGACCTCTATGTCAGTCATGCGACAGGCCATATCGGGGA